ATCACCCACACAGACAAGGAAGCAGAGGGAACACTTCTACAATGACTAATTGAGGATAAGGACCAGGTGTGTGTGATTAATTAGACAAGACAAGTGGAGTGATGATAAATGGATCGGCAGCAGCTAGTAAGCCGGTGACGACAAACGCCGAAACCTGCCCGAACAAGGAGGGGAGGCAGCCTTGGCGGAAGTTGTGACGGTACCCCCCCCCCCCGCCCCTTGCTGCGCGCCGGCCTCGGGGGCGGCCAGGAGGACGTGGAGCAGGGTGAGCCGGATGGCGACGGTGGAAATCCCGTAACATGGAGGGATCGAGGATATCCCTCACCGGGGCCCAGCACCGTTCCTCCGGACCGTACCCCTCCCACTCCACGAGGTACTGAAGGCCCCCCATCCGACCCCTCGAATCCAGGATGGAACGGCCCGAGTACGCCGGGGCCCCCTCGATGTCCAGAGGAGGTGGAGGGACCTCCCACACCTCAGACTCCTGGAGCGGACCAGCTACCACCGGCCTGAGGAGAGACACATGAAACGAGGGGTTAATAATAACCTATATGTGACCTCGTTGACTCTCAAGACTTTGAACGGCCCCACAAACTGCGGGCTCAGCTTCCGGCAGGGCAGGCGGAGGGGCAGATTCCGGGTCGAGAGCCAGACCCGATCCCCCGGTACAAAGACGGGGGCCTCAATGTGGTGGCGGTCAGCGTTGGCCTTCTGACGACGCACAGGGCGCGTCAGAAGGCCAAAATGATTCTCCTGGGTGATCATGGGGACTGGTATAGTGACTTCCGTAACAAATCCGGACCCTAATGGTCGACTATCAAGTGCTCTGAGGGGACGTGGAATGGAGAGTGGAACCAATGAAATGCCTTGACGGCGTGCGAATGCCCTATCCATAAACTTCCCAGCTGCGCCTGAATCGACTAGCGCCTTACACTGGGGAACTACCATGTGATCGGGAAAGTGGATAGATAGGGTACAGTGCGCAACAGAGGGCTCTGAACAAGTGTGGGTGTTCGATACCTGGGGTGATGTGTGAGTGCCCTGCCTGCCGCCTCCAGGCCCAAAATAACTTTGACTACGACGTGTGGTGGATTGTCCCTTCGTGCCACCAGAGTGGCACTGTCGCTGTCCTCCTCCGCTCTCTCGGCCGGCGGCTCCAACCAGCTCCATCGGCTCGAGGTCCGAGTCTTCTGGGGTGGAAACGGGCAGACCCTTACCAGGACATCCTCTGGCTGCCAGCAGGTTGTCCAACCGAATGGCCATGTCCACCAGTTTATCGAAGGACAACATGGTGTCCCGGCAGGCTAGCTCCCGTCGGATGTCCTCCCGCAGATGGCACCGGAAATGGTCGATCAGGGCCCGCTCGTTCCACCCGGACCCCGCTTCCAGCGTCCGGAACTCCAACGCGAAGTCCTGCACGGTCCTCGTCCCCTGCCTCAGGTGGACCAGTCGCTCACCCGCCTCTCGACCCTCGGGCAGGTGGTCGAATACTGCCCGAAAGAGGAGAGCGAACTCCCTGTAGTCCTCCAACGCGGTTCCTCCTTCATTCCACACCGCGTTGGCCCACTCCAGGGCTTTCCCACAGAGGCAGGAAACGAGGACGGACACCTTCTCCCGCTCCGATGGTGCCGGCCTGATGCTGGCGAAGTAAAGCTCCAATTGGAGGAGGAATCCCTGGCACAGCGCCGCTGTGCCCTCAAACGCCCGTTGTCAGTATATCTGGATCCCTCCTGGTGCTGGGGTGTAGGTGGTTGGATCCGGTTGGCCAGCTGGTCTCGACAGATCGGGTCTGCTCCTCTCCAGGCGTTGGACGACCTGAAGAACCCGATCCATCGCTTCCCCCAAGTTGGCCAGCATCGTGGAGTGCTCCTGGACCCGTGCCACGACTCCAGGCATGCGCTCTTCTCCCGCTGACTCCATAGCGGGTGGATGATTCTGTGATGCATGTGATAGAAGGAGTCAGGCGCAGGAGAGTAATACGCATCCAAAGAGTTTATTCCATTGATAAACAGTTGCAAGCATGCGACAACAAAACTCAGGCACAGGGGAAATATCTACCCTGGCAACAACAAGGTAAGGGTAGCTCAACCGAGCTACACACAGCTCACTACAAACAATCACCCACACAGACAAGGAAGCAGAGGGAACACTTATACAATGACTAATTGAGGATAAGGACCAGGTGTGTGTGATTAATTAGACAAGACAAGTGGAGTGATGATAAATGGATCGGCAGCAGCTAGTAGGCCGGTGACGACGAACGGCGAAACCTGCCCGAACAAGGAGGGGAGGCAGCCTCGGCGGAAGTCGTGACAACAGGAGGCTATGTTTACATTGCAAGTTAAATAAACAGTAAACAAAAGTGAGAAGAAAATAATTTAACAACGTCAACAAAAAAAAATTAGAAATTAACAGTAAACATTGCACTAAAAAAGGTTTCAAAAAGATGAAGACATTTCAAGTGTTATATTATCAGCTAAGTGTTTTGACAATGTGCAAATAATTGTAGTATGAATAGTGGGGGGAAGATAAATAAACAGATAAGTATTGGTGGTATTTACAATGTTGTTTGTGCTCCACTGCTTGCCATTTTCTCATGGCAACGGGCCACAATTCTTGCTGCTGTGATTGCACATTGTGGTATTTCGCCTAACAGATATGGGAGTTTATCAATGTTGGATTTAAAGAACATATATTTGTGGGTCTATGTGATCTGTGGGAAATATGTGTCTCTAATGTGGTCATACATTTGGCAGGAGGTTAGGAAGTGCAGCTCCGTTTCCACCTCATTTTGTGGACAGTGGGCACATATCCTGTCTTCACTTGAGAGCCTGGTCTGCCTATGGCGGCCTCTCTCAATAACAATGCTATGCTCACTGAGTCTGTACATAGTCAAGGATTTTCTTAATTTTGGGTCAGTCACAGTGGTCAGGTATTCTACTACTGTGTAGTCTCTTTTTAGCGCTAGATAGCATTCCAATTTGCACTGTTTTTTGGTTGATTCTTTCCAGTATCTCAAATAGTTATCTTTTTGCTTTCTCATAATTTGGTTGGGTCTAATTGTGTTGCTGGCCTCAGGCTATTTGGGGTCTGTTTGTGTTTGTGAACAGAGCCCTGGCATCTACTGGGCAGAGAGAGGATACAGCAAGGACAGAGAGCCTTTTATAAACAGGCAGTCAAGGCAGAGAGGAGAGGGTCCGACATCAGAGAGGGTCCGCTGCCCCCCCCCCCCCTCTCCCCTTCTGTTTTCTGTGTCACACTCTTGAGCTTCCCTGCTCTTGAATGGCCGGTTAGTGGAGGTCAGTGTGTGAGTGTGTGTGTGTGTGTGTGTGTCCCACGTGTGTTAAGCCCATGACCTCCTTTCACTCCTCCTCATTAGCAAGTAAATCCCCCCTCCCACCAAGGACCAGGCCAGTATGAAGGGAGGGGGAGGGAGGGAGGGAGGGAGTGGGAGAGAGGAGGAGAGAAGAAGAGAAGAAGAGAGAGAGATAGAGAGAGAGAGAGAGAGAGAAAGAGAGGAGAGAGAGATGAGTAAGCGAGCGAGCTCGATCGGATATCCCTCTCCTCTCTCTATAGGAGATGGAAGAATAGAGTCTGCGAGCGATAATGGGTTCTGGCCCTTCGATGGTTTTGCTTTTCCATACATATCACTGGATGTCTCACAGAGTGTGTGTATTGACAGTAAACTCAACAGTGCATTAAGAGAACTATCTACAATTGTTGAAGAGAACACCCCGTTCAACCGTCTCTCTCCAGTTCCAGCCATGGTTGGTGTGTGTTTGTGCAGGTGTCAGCAGTGAACTCCCTGTCTACCGCCCTGGACCATTCAGCTGTCTACAGAGAGAAAGAGAGGAGGGAGAGAGAGGGAGCGAAAGAGGGAGAAGGAAGGAAAGAGAGAGCTGAGTGAGAGACAGAAAGTGGCTGTAACGGAGAGGAGGAGGAGAGCGAGAGAGAGAGAGAGGAGGAAGAAGGATAGAGAGATATTTGCATATTTTGTTTATTATCTATTTCACTTGCTTTGGCAATGTAAACATATGTTTCCCATGCCAATAAAGCCCTTTGAATTGAAATAGAGCCCCCTCCCTCAGATGTGAGATAGCAAATGTTATGTCTGAGTGTTTGAGAGGTCTGAGCAATAGTCTCAAGCCACTGTCCCCCCCCCCCCCCCCCCAAAACACACACACCTTTTTATTAGAAACAATTTCCAGAGTGTTAAAAGCATGAAAACTTAGCCATGTTATTCTTATTTTTCACATGTTTTACAACCCTTCAGGACTGACTGTAAACCTCCAGCCACAGTTAACAGGCCTGCGGTTCTACTGCTTTGATTTGGATATATGGAATTATTTTCCCTGGCACTGGTGTGCGTGCGTGCGTGCGTGCGTGTGTGTGTGCATGTGTGCGAGTGTGTGTGTTTGTGCGTGTGTGTGTGTAGGACGTGTGACATGGTAATGAGTCAGGCTTTTTGGAGCCAGAACAGACTGACAGACTGGAACATACACACAACGCACGCGTGCAAACACAAACACACACACACACACACACACACACACACACACACACACACACACACACACACACACACACACACACACACACACACACACACACACACACACACACACACACACACACACACACACACACACACACACACACACACACACACACACACTATAACCGACAGAGTAGACTGCAACTCTACGTTTTCTAAATGAGCTAACTGTACTACAACTTTAGTAGCACTCCTCTCCACTCCTCCATTTAATGGGATTAGTTCAATCCAAACACTGTAAATAGAATCAGCAGGAGGTTGTTGACAATGTAAACGAAGGGTTTAATGTCCTGATAACCACTAATAACCACAAACACTGTTTACCACGCCCAGGTAGACTAGGCTTCTCTCCACAGGTCACAGGTGAGTTGACTGTGTGTGTTAAGTGCTCATATGCGTGTGTCTGAGAGTTGTCCTAGGGGTGTGTTGACCTGTGTATGTATGCATGTGTCCAGTCATGCTGCCCAGCCTTGCTATCCACCGCACCTCAGTGCATCCGTACCAGCGAGGATTCTACTGCAGCGACGTCAGTCTGCGTTACTCCTACAAGAGCTCCACCATCCCCTCCTCTGTCCTCACTGCCGTGGGGCTCACTCTGCCCAGTATGGCCGTAAGTCAGACCTACCATGGAGCACTCTGCCTGGGAGGAGAGAGGGGGTACGCCTGGAGGACTAGAGGTTTGCATGGTCAACTGGGTCAGACAGAGTGACCATATTAGATTCAAGATTTAAACAGTGGGTTAGGGTTGGAGTTAACTGGGTGGTGATTCTGTGACTATCTCTGGCTGATCGTCACTCTTCTACACTCAGACGACCATGTAGGACCAACCTCCGTTCTCTCCTCCTTTGCTATCCCATGTTCCCGTGGTGAAACCCGCACGCCCCCTCCCTCTACCTCCTGTTTGTGTCCAAGTCACTGACCTACTGTCTTTGTCTCTCTTCCCCCTCCCTCTCTCTCTCTTCCACTCTCCCTCTCCTCTCTCCTCTCTCTCTCTTCTCTCTCTCTCTCTCTCTCCTCTCCTCCTCTCTCTCTCTCTCTCTCTCTCTCTCTCTTCCACTCATACCCCCCTCTCTCTCTTCCACTCTCTCCCCCTCTCTCTTCCAATCTCTCCCCCCTCACTCTCTCTCTCTTCCACGCTCTCTCTCCCTCTCCTCTCCCTCTCCCCTCTCTCTATTGCTCTCTCTCTCTCCCCTTCTCTCCCTCCGCCCCCTCTCTCTATCTATCTCCTGCTCTCTCTCTCTCTCTCTCTCTCTGTGCAGCTGGCCTGCCCTTCCTGATAATAGAGACTAGCACCATACAGCCGTACCACAGAGGTTTTTACTGTTCTGATGAGTCCATCAGGTACCCATATAAAAATGGAGACACTATCAGCGATGCTGTGCTCTGTGCTGCTGGCATTCTTATTGCCATCCTCTCTGTAAGTCTACCTCTCTGAGTATCTCTTCTAGTCCCTCACTTCATACTCCATAATCATCCCTTCCTGTCTCTGTTTGTGTGTGTGTGATTTTCATGTGTTGTCTGCTCTGTGTGAAGTCATTTTCCATCGCCATAACAGCATTGACTCGCTCCACACTGAATATAGACCAGTTTCCATTCTTCTGATGAGCAAGGGAGGGTGTGTGTTTATGTGTGTGTGTGTGTGTGTGTGTGTGTGAACCACACACTCCTGGTTTGAGCTGTTGATGTGATACATTACATTCCCATGACCCCTGTTGCCTGTTGCCTGCCCTCTGGGCTTGGTGCCCCAGTGCCCTCTCCCACCAAATGAACACACACACACACGCACACACACACACACACACACACACACACACACACACACACACACACACACACACACACACACACACACACACACACACACACACACACACACACACACACACCAGACACACCCCGCACTGAGTCCTAGCCCCCTCTACTATATGAGACCCCAGGCTGTGCTCTGTTGGCGTCTATCCTGATGGGGGTACAATCTAGCTACCAGCTCAGCGCTTCTGCTTTTACAAACCAGGAGTGTATGTGTCTGAGTGTGTGTGTGTGTGTGTTCTCACAGCTCATGGTGTGGGTAAGTTGGCGTGTTTTACACATCTGTATATCATTAGTGGTGTCTCCTGTGATTCTGACACAGTCTCACTCTGACACACACACACACACACACACACACACACACCACACACAGACACACAGACACATAGACACACACACACTCTTTCCTAGCGTGGCCTCTTGGCTGTGTTTATCCCAGGGAAACCCCCTCCTCTCCTCCCCTTCTCTCCCTGACAGACTCTGTCTGCACTGTGGGATGAGATAGGCAGCATGGAGCGAGATGGAGAGAGGGAGAGAGAGAATAGATATTAGTATATATGGAGAACGCTAGAGGTACAGTATATCTCTAGCAGGCTGAGAGGAGGGCAAGTCAATATCTTAGGAGCAATATAGTGAGAGAGGAGAGGGTGGCTGGGTGTTACATAGAGGGCTGTGTGTGGGCATCCAGAGTTCCTGGGGGTCCGCAATGGGATGGCGTACCGCTGTGTCTCTTGGGAGGCTGTACCCCACCCCGCCCCCTGCTAGAAAAGTTCAGCTCTAGTGTTACAACATCACTGCAGGACTCTGAGACAGTGTTAACCCAGAGCCACATTGTCTCACGTCAAATGGCGTCATTCTACACTACGCTCGTCCCTCAACCGATCTGGCTTGTAGGATGTGGAACTCATCTAAAAATATAGAGAATATGCTCATCCGCCTAACACTAGTTCCTAATTCTGAAAATCACTGTGCTCTCGGTAACTATGATGCACTGGCTACTACGGCAAACCATGCTTGAGCAGCTGAGCAAACTTGCTCCAGCTAGCAGCCTAGTGCAAGCTTCTTTCGATGGCTATAAGGTATCTAGTTTGCCTGCTTGTTGTTTGTGAGTTATCAGACAGATCAGTGCCAGATCAGTGCATACGGCCGTTGCGCTACCTGACGTGAGACAATGTTAACCCAGAGCCATAGATAGGATCTCTGTTATCTCTCTCTATCTTTGTTAGAGGTGTCATCTGTCCATCTCATCCCCTCCTCCATCCCTCCATCAGCTCCTCTGTCATACCTCATCATTAAAGACATCATATCAGTGGTGCCCAAGGGAACGGCAGGCCATGCTCAATGTTTCCATCTCTCTCTCTCTCCATTATCCGTTCATCCTTCTCACTGTCTTTCTCTCCATCTTGTCTCCATCCTCCCTGTTTTATCCATGTCTTCACTTAATCAACATGTGCATGCTTAATTACACATTGTCACTGTGTGTGGATGTGTTTGACCTAACTGCATGATAGTTGACAATATCACTCATCAGAACCCGATCAGGAGTTTGTTTGTAATGTTCAATTCCTTTCACTTCTTCATCCCAAATCCTCCTCTCCTCTCCTCTCCTCTCCTCTCCTCTCCTCTCCTCTCCTCTCCTCTCCTCTCCTCTCCTCTCCTCTCCTCTCCTCTCCTCTCCTCTCCTCTCCTCTCCTCTCCTCTCCTCTCCTCTCCTCTCCTCTCCTCTCCTCTTCCCTCCTCTTCCCTCCTCTCCTCTCTATAGATTGTTATAGGAGAGTGTTACAGGATTCACAATCTGAGGGAGGGATCTAAGTCTTTCGTTGGGAACCCTTATGTCTCATCTCTCTACAAACAGGTGAGTACTAGTAGAGGTCAGGGTGGGTAGAGACTGGACAATAAATGATAAATTTCAATAATATTCTGGTTTTCATGCTAATGGTTATATGGTACTAATGGTTGTAATGCATCCTCTAGGTTGGAGTGTTTATATTTGGCTGTGCCATCAGCCAGTCGTTCACAGACATCGCCAAGGTGTCAGTGGGCAGGATGAGACCGCACTTCCTGGATGTGTGTAACCCTGAATGGTCAGCCATCAACTGTTCCCTCGGATACATCACCTCCTACACCTGTAATGGCCCTGAGAGCAAAGTACAGGAAGCCAGGTCAGTACACATACAAAAACACACATGCATGCATACAAACACACGCACAGAGGCATGCACACACATACACACACACATGCGCCCACACCACACACACACACACACACACACACACACACACACACACACACACACACACACACACACACACACACACACACACACACACACACACACACACACACACACACACACACACACACACACACACACACAGACTACTCATGTTTGCTTGTTTGTTTTACCAGGAAATCCTTCTTCTCAGGACATGCCTCCTTCTCCATGTTTACTATGCTCTACCTGGCTGTGAGTAACACATATACATACATACACACACACACACACACACACACACACGCACGCACGCACGCACGCACGCACGCACGCACGCTCACACACACACTGTGGTACACAGAAACAATGGGGTGGTGCAGATGACAGAGGGCATCATGGGAAGTAGGTGTAGCCCTTTACACTCGTACCCGTATACAGGTTGAAAATGGCAGATTTTGGCACTGACTAAATTGGAACGCAGTGGCTGTACAGTAATACATGACGTCAGACCTCAGGCTCTGCTTCACAGCTCTGTATGGGTTTTGACTGGCTGTTCTGAACTTTGCACTGACTGGACGCGACAAGAAGTTTCCCCATCCCTCTAACTAATTGTGCAACTTTAGCACATGTTTTGTTGTCTGAGTGAAGGGAAATGCTGTGAATTAAGAGGAATCGATGTATTTTGAAAGATGAGACATTGAGGATTATAGAAATGCCACTTTGAGTCCAAATGTGCGCTTCACATTTCCATATCATAAAACTAATTTCATATAAAGTGTCAATGTTTATGATCACAATGTTTGATGTACAGTTATGACATGACGTCATACCCTGGGTAATTCTGAACAGAAGGAGCCTATCTTCATCTACTGTGAAGAAAGTTTGCCGCGGCACACGCACCTAAATGCACTCATGACTCCTTTCTATTTGCACCAAAAATACCATCTGTTTCTCTGGATTGTCTTGTGAAAGCCTAACAATTTTTGGATTGCGTAAACAACAACAGTAACTGTGTGATGGCGGGGATGCAGGGCTGTGTTCCAACCAAAACAACTACTAGTGTGCTTCCTCTAGTTCCTCAACAGCACAGCTAGGAGAGCTACAAAAAAAAGCACCTTATAGTTGAAGACTCTTGAGTCATAAAAGTGCTTTGAAATGACATAGGAACTGTGCACACTTTGGAGAGGTGTGTGGCCACTTGGAGACACCAGTTAGTCCTCTCACTCATGTTGGACCTACCCCACATTATCCAGGAATATTCTTATCATGTTACTGAATGTATTAAGAGTATTTTCTGATTTCGTTATCAACAAATGCGGCAAAAAGTACAGTAAATGTAAAATGCGCATACAATCAACAGTGTAATGTTTGGATTCAGTCTTGTGTCACGTGAACAGTCTTGTGTCCTCACCTTTGGTCTAATAGTTTTCTGATAATCTCCAAACTGTTCCCTTTGAATTGCTACCATGGCTATGCATTTCAGATTTCTTCTGTAAAAAACATTTCAATTTAGCGCTATCCATATAGGTCAATTCCCACGAGTGTAAAGGGTTAATGAGCTGCAGGATTCATCTGCCTGATGAAAAATATATTTGTTCTCCCTCTATCCCTCCCCCTCATCATCCCGACTCCCCCACCCGCTCATAGTTTAATCAGACTTTTCTTTCCTCCTCTTCCTAGAGGGATGGATGGATGGATGCACTCCACCTGTTTTCCTCTTAACATTTAAGTCATTTAGCAGACGCTCTTATCCAGAGCGACTTACAGTTAGTGAGTGCATACATTTTCATACTGGCCCCCCGTGGGAAACGAACCCACAACCCTGGCGTTGCAAGCGCCATGCTCTACCAACTGAGCTACAGGGGACTAACAGCTTTCTCTCTCTTTCACTCTTTCTCTTTCTTTCCTTCTCTCTCTCTCTCTCCCTATCTCCACCTGTTGTGGTCTCTTGATCCATCTTCGTACCCCAGCGGGCCTCCACGCTTCCAACACACTAATTACATACACTGACCCCCCCCCCAGCCCCCCTCTCTCTCTTTTTCTTTGTCTCTCCCTCCCCTCTTTATCCCCCATGTCCTATTAAGACCGCAGATATTCCCACAACTATGCTCAATGTTTTGGGCTTGGATAGGCTGAGCTTGGCTGAGCTGGGTTGGCACGGTTTGCCAATGCTTCCCGGAGTATTGTGTGGTATTTTGTGGTGAGTGCTGGGTATTTCCCTGCCTCTCTCTGACCTCTCTGACAGCCTCTCTGTTAGAATGGCAAGAGGGAGTGTAAAAGAGGGAGGGAGGGAAGGAGGGAAGAAGAGAGGTGTGCCTCCAGACCGCAGGCTTGACATTCAAACCACAAAACCGCAGGCTTGCCATTCAAACCACAAACAAGTTTTCTGGGAGGTGGATCTAGTGTGGTGAAGAGAGAGCAAGAAGAGAGGGAAGAAGGAAGAGAGCGAAGACATAAAAGCCAACTCTCCTTGGAAATATAAACTGACCAGACAGTTTGTACAGTACACACAGCGACACACAGCAACACACACCCCAGGGATCCAGTTTTTCTAATTGAGGGTTAGTAAACAACAAATATTACAGACATTCTGTGGTGGTGTGGAATGATGGCCGGATTATCTCTCTTTATTTCCTTGTTGTGTTTTATATCTGTCCCAGAGTGAATAAGTGAGTCCATGAGAGAAAGGAGTCTCTCTTCTTGAGTATAAATATTCTGTAAGAAACCACTAAACTGTGGCTTCATGTCTTCTCAGTCATTCATGGAGTTTGGAAAAAATCTTTAGTTGTTTTTTTATAGTAGTTTTTCTCAGGACAGAAACACAATAGTCTTCTGACGGATGAGTGTTAGTGAGACATTCCTCAGTCTGTGGTAAGAACATTTCTCTCATACTCACACTACAGCCAGTAGCTCTGTAAGACCAGGACTGGAACTACAGCCAGTAGCTCTCCAGGACCAGGACTGGAACTACAGCCAGTAGCTCTTTAAGACCAGGACTGGAACTACAGTCAGTAGCTATGTAAGACCAGGACTGGAACTTCAGCTAGTAGCTCTCCAGGAACAGGACTGGAACTACAGCCAGTAGCTCTGTAAGACCAGGACTGGAACTACAGCCAGTAGCTCTGCAAGACCAGGACTGGAACTACAGTCAGTAGCTCTGCAAGACCAGGACTGGGACAACAGCCAGTAGCTCTGCAAGACCAGGACTGGACATACAGCCAGCAGCTCTCCAGGAACAGGACTGGAACTACAGCCAATAGCTCTCCAGGACCAGGACTGGAACTACAGCCAGTAGCTCTGCAAGACCAGGAGTGGAACTACAGCCAGCAGCTCTCCAGGACCAGGACTGGAACTACAGCCAGCAGCTCTCCAGGACCAGGACTGGAACTACAGCCAGTAGCTCTATAGAACCAGGACTGCCCTTGCCACCCCTACAGTAGGTCTAGAAAACCTCATGGTCGGACAACGGCATACATTCCTGTCTTACTCACTTCCTTTTCCCTCCTTCCCCTTCACCTTTCCCCCCCTGGAACCTGCGGAAGTCAGAACTCTAAACATCCCTGAGAGAAAGAGAGAGGGAGAGAGGGATGGGAGGGTACCTTCCTCTCCTTCCTCAAAGTCAACAATGATGAGCAACAATGATGATGAGCTTGTCTTCCAGGAAGAGCAAGTCAGCCTACTCCATACCTTCCTCTGGGAATCTACAGCCTGGTCTACAGTTGATGGGCTATTGTTAGGACAGCTAATTAGGCCTTGGTGAGAGTGGAGGGGTGAGAGAGGGGGTGAGGAAGGTAGTGAGGGAGACCTTGGCAGAGGTTGCCCCACCCAGTCTCTGGCTATTAGAAGCAGGAAGTATAGGTCTGAGTCTGAGGGGAGATGAAGAAACACAGGAAGTCCAAGGGTCCACGCCTGACCTCATTTTGGTGTGTGCGCGTGTGTGTGTGGGGATGTGCGTGTGTGTGTGTGTGATTGAGAATGGCCTTGGCCATTTGCATTCCTGTTTTAGTTGTGCTTTGGTGTAAAATATAACCCAGCTAAACTGACTGAGTCAGGGGGCAGGAGGTGGAGAGTTGGAGGGCACATCCGCTTGTCTGCTGTTTATTCTAATGGGGGGAGAGAGTTCACTCTGAACAGGTGTTGAACATGGACCGGAGTGAGTGTGCGTTTCTGTTGGGTTTAGTCAGTGGTCATGGTGTTTTTTTACAGCTGAAGGGGGAACATTTATCAGAACCACAGCCTGGTCTACAGTTGAAGTCGGAAGTTTACATACACCTTAGCCAAATACATTTAAACTCAGTTTTTCACAATTCCTGACATTTAATCCTAGTAAAAATACCCTGTTTTAGGTCAGTTAGGATCACCACTTAATTTTAAGAATGTGAAATGTCAGAATAATGGTAGAGAGAATGATTTATTTCTGCTTTTATTTCTTTCATCACATTCCCAGTGGGTCAGAAGTTTACATACACTCAATTAGTATCTGGTAGCATTGCCTTTAAATTGGTCAAACGTTTCGGGTAGCCTTCCACAAGTTTACATACACTTAGGTTGGAGTCATTAAAACTTGTTTTTCAACCACTCCACAAATGTATTGTTAACAAACTATAGTTTTGGCAAGTCGGTTAGGCCATGTACTTTGTGCATGACACAAGTAATCTTTCCAACAATTGTTTACAGACAGATTATTTCACTTATAATTCACTGTATCACAATTCCAGTGGGTCAGAATTTTACATACACTAAGTTGACTGTGCCTTTAAACAGCTTGGAAAATTCCAGAAAATGATTTAATGGCTTTAGAAGCTTCTGATAGGCTAATTGACATCCTTTGAGTCAATTGGAGGTGTACCTTTGGATGTATTTCAAGGCCTACCTTCAAACTCAGTGCCTCTTTGCTTGACATCATGGGAAAATCTAAAGAAATCAGCCAAGATCTCAGAAGAAAAATTGTAGACCTCCACAAGTCTGGTTCATCCTTATGAGTAATTTCCAAACGCCTGAAGGTACCACATTCATCTGTACAAACAATAGTACGCAAGTATAAACATCATGGGACCACGCAGCCATAATACCGCTCAGGAAGGAGACGCGATCTGTCTCCTAGAGATGAACGTACTTTGGTGCGAAAATTGCAAATCAATCCCAGAACAACAGCAAAGGACCTTGTGAAGATGCTGGAGGAAACAGGTACAAAAGTATCTCTATCCACAGTAAAACTAGTCCGATATCGACATAACCTGAAAGGCCGCTCAGCAAGGTAGAAGCCACTGCTCTAAAACTGCCACAAAAAATCCAGACTACGGTTTGCAACTGCATATGGGGACAAAGATCGTACTTTTTGGAGAAATGTCCTCTGGTCTGATGAAACAAAAATAGAACTGTTTGGCCATAATGACCATCGTTATGTTTGGAGGAAAAAGGGGGATGCTTGCAAGCCGAAGAACATCATCCCAACCGTGAAGCACGGGGGTGACAGCATCATGCTGTGGGGGTGCTTTGCTGCAGGAGAGACTGGTGCACTTCACAAAATAGATGGCATCATGAGGATCCTATAGAAGATTTGTGGGCAGAACTGAAAAAGCGTGTGAGAGCAAGGAGGCCTACAAACCTGACTCAGTTACACCAGCTCTGTCAGGAGGAATGGGCCAAAATTCACCCAACTTATTGTGGGAAGCTTGTGGAAGGCTACCCGAAACGTTTGACCCAAGTTAAACAATTTAAAGGCAATGCTACCAAATACTAATTGTGTGTATGTAAACTTCTGATCCACTGGGAATGTGATGAAAGAAATAAAAGCTGAAATAAATAATTCTCTACCATTATTCTGATATTTCACATTCTTAAAATAAAGTGGTGATCCTAACTGACCTAAGACAGGGTATTTTTTACTAGGATTAAATGTCAGGAATTGTGAAAAACTGAGTTTAAATGTATTTGGCTAAGGTGTATGTAAACTTCCGACTTCAACTGTATCTGCTTCAGATGTTTACTATAAATCTGTCTGTGTAAGATCAAACGCCTACTGCTCAATGTCTTTCTGTGTTCATGCATTAAAATAATAATCCCTTTTCCTCTCTCTTTCTCCCTCTTTCCATCCCTCTGTCAGTTTTATCTCCAGTCCAGGTTCACCTGGCGAGGTGCCCGTTTGCTCCGCCCCCTCCTCCAGTTCACGCTGCTGATGATGGCATTCTACACCGGCCTATCGCGCGTCTCCGACCACAAGCACCACCCCACAGACGTACTGGCCGGCTTTGTACAGGGAGCCCTGGTGGCCTACTGCATAGTGAGTACACGCACACACACACTGAGTGTACAAAACATTAAGAACACCTTCCTAATATTGAGTTGCACCCCCTCCCCCCTTTTGCCCTCAGAACAGCCTCAATACATCAGGGCATGGACTTTACATGGTGTCGAAAGTGTTTCACAGGGATGCTGGCCCATGTTGACTCCAATGCTTCCCACAGTTGTGTCAAGTTGGCTGGATGTCCTTTGGGTGGTGGTCCATTCTTGATACACACGAGAAACTGTTGAGCGTTAAAAACCCATCAGCGTTGCAGTTCTTGACACAAACGGGTGCCCTGGCACCTACTACCATTTCCCGTTCAAAGGCACTTAAATCACCCTCTGAATGGCACATATACACAATCCATGTCCTAATAGTCTTAAGGCTTAAAACTCCTTCTTTAACCTGTCTCCTCCCCTTCATCTACACTGATTGAAGTGGATTTAACAGGTGACATCAATAAGGGATCATAGCTTTCACCTGGATTCACCTGGCCAGTCTATGTCAAATGTTTTGTCCACTCAGTGTATATATATATATATATATATATATATATATATATATATATATATATATATATATATATATATATATATATATATATATATATATATATATATATACACACAGTTGAAGTCGGAAGTTTACATACACTTAGGTTGGAGTCATTTAAACTCGTCTTTCAACCACTTCACACATTTCTTGTTAACAAACTATAGTTTTGGCAAGTCGGTTAGGACATCTACTTTGTGCATGACACAAGTAATTTTTTCCAACAATTCTTTACAGACAGATTATTTCACTTATAATTCACTGTATCACAATTCCAGAGGGTCAGAAGTTTACATAAACTAAGTTGACTGTGCCTTTAAACAGCTTGGAAAATTCCAGAAAATGATGTCATGGCTTTAGAAGCTTCTGATAGGCTAATTGACATCATTTGAGTCAATTGGAGGTGTACCTGTGGATGTATTTCAAGGCCTACCTTCAAACTCAGTGCCTCTTTGCTTGACATCATGGGAAAATTAAAAGAAATCAGCCAAGATCTCAGAATTTTTTTTTGTAGACCTCCACAAGTCTGGTTCATCCTTGGGACAATTTCCACATGCCTGAAGGTACCATGTTCATCTGTACAAACAATAGTACGCACGTATAAACACCATGGGACCACGCAGCCGTCATACCGCTCAGGAAGTACACGCGTTCTGTCTCCTAGAGATTAACGTAGTTTGGTGCGAAAAGTCCAAATCAATCCCAGAACAACAGCAAAGGACGAAGATGCTGTCCTATATCGACATAACCTGAAAGGCCGCTCAGCAAGGAAGAAGCCAATGCTACAAAACCGCCATAAAAAAGCCAGACTACGGTTTGCAACTGCACATGGGGACAAAGATCGTACTTTTTGGAGAAATGTCCTCTGGTCTGATGAAACAAAAATAGAACTGTTTGGCCATAATGACCATATTGAAGCAACATCTCAAGACATCAGTCAGGAAGTTAAAGCTTGTTTGCAAATGGTTCTTCCAAATGGACAATGACCCCAAGCATACTTCCAAAGTTGTGGCAAAATGGCTTAAGGACAACAAAGTCAAGGTATTGGAGTGGCCATCACAAAGCCCTGACCTCAATCCTATAGAAAATGTGTGGGCAGAACTGAAAAAGTGTGTGCGAGCAAGGAGGCCTACAAACCTGACTCAGTTACACCAGCTCTGTCAGGAGGAATGGGCCAAAATTCACCCAACTTATTGTGGAAAGCTTGTGGAAGGCTACCCGAAATGTTTGACCCAAGTTAAACAATTTAAAGGTAATGCTACCAAATACTAATTGAGTGTACGTGAACTTCTGACCCACTGGGAATGTGATGAAATAAATAAAAGCTGAAATAAATCATTCTCTCTACTATTATTCTGACATTTCACATTCTTAAAATAATGTTGTGATCCTAACTGACCTAAGACAGGGAATTTTTACTAGGATTAAATGTCAGGAAATGTATTTGGCTAAGGTGTATGTAAACTTCCGACTTCAACTGTATATATATATATACAGTGGGGAAAAAAGTATTTAGTCAGCCACCAATTGTGCAAGTTCTCCCACTTAAAAAGATGAGAGAGGCCTGTAATTTTCATCATAGGTACACGTCAACTATGACAGACAAATTGAGAAAATAAAATCCAGAAAATCACATTGTAGGATTTTTAATGAATTTATTTGCAAATTATGATGGAAAATAAGTATTTGGTCACCTACAAACAAGCAAGATTTCTGGCTCTCACAGACCTGTAACTTCTTCTTTAAGAGGCTCTTCTGTCCTCCACTCGTTACCTGTATTAATGGCACCTGTTTGAACTTGTTATCAGTATAAAAGACACCTGTCCACAACCTCAAACAGTCACACTCCAAACTCCACTATGGCCAAGACCAAAGAGCTGTCAAAGGACACCAGAAACAAAATTGTAGACCTGCACCAGGCTGGGAAGACTGAATCTGCAATAGGTAAGCAGCTTGGTTTGAAGAAATCAACTGTGGGAGCAGTTATTAGGAAATGGAAGACATACAAGACCACTGATAATCTCCCTCGATATGGGGCTCCACGCAAGATCTCACCCCGTGGGGTCAAAATGATCACAAGAACGGTGAGCAAAAATCCCAGAACCACACGGGGGGACCTAGTGAATGACCTGCAGAGAGCTGGGACCAAAGTAACAAAGCCTACCATCAGTAACACACTACGCCGCCAGGGTCTCAAATCCTGCAGTGCCAGACGTGTCCCCCTGCTTAAGCCAGTACATGTCCAGGCCTGTCTGAAGTTTGCTAGAGTGCATTTGGATGATCCAGAAGAGGATTGGGAGAATGTCATATGGTCAGATGAAACCAAAATAGAACTTTTTGGTAAAAACTCAACTCGTCGTGTTTGGAGGACAAAGAATGCTGAGTTGCATCCAAAGAACACCATACCTACTGTGAAGCATGGGGGTGGAAACATCATGCTTTGGGGCTGTTTTTTCTGCAAAGGGACCAGGACGACTGATCCGTGTAAAGGAAAGAATGAATGGGGCCATGTATCGTGAGATTTTGAGTGAAAACCTCCTTCCATCAGCAAGGGCATTGAAGATGAAACGTGGCTGGGTCTTTCAGCATGACAATGATCCCAAACACACCGCCCGGGCAACGAAGGAGTGGCTTCGTAAGAAGCATTTCAAGGTCCTGGAGTGGCCTAGCCAGTCTCCAGATCTCAACCCCATAGAAAAATCTTTGGAGGGAGTTGAAAGTCTGTGTTGCCCAGCGACAGCCCCAAAACATCACTGCTCTAGAGGAGATCTGCATGGAGGAATGGGCCAAAATACCAGCAACAGTGTGTGAAAACCTTGTGAAGACTTACAGAAAACGTTTGACCTGTGTCATTGCCAACAAAGGGTATATAACAAAGTATTGAGAAACTTTTGTTATTGACCAAATACTTATTTTCCACCATAATTTGCAAATAAATTCATTAAAAATCCTACAATGTGATTTTCTGGAATTTTTTTTCTCATTTTGTCTGTCATAGTTGACGTGTACCTATGATGAAAATCACAGGCCTCTCTCATCTTTTTAAGTGGGAGAACTTGCACAATTGGTGGCTGACTAAATACTTTTTTCCCCCACTGTATATAATGTAATGAAGAAAAAAAAAAATATATATAAATACTGTATATACAGCGGGCTTCAGTGGCCTACTCCCTACTGCATGGTGAGTTAGTCATTTATTGTATTATGACTGTAAGGCAGTGGTATTCAAACTTTTTCAGTGGGACCTCAAATTTCTTCAACCTGAATTTCTGGCAACCTCACACCATCCTAAATCTAACGACACAACCTTAAAATCTGTACATTTCAATTTTTACATCAACAGATAATGATTAATTCATTACATTTCCATGTCTCTTATCAAAATTAAGAGAACCAATGAATACATTTACTCAGTTAAATTGTCTTTTTCAAATCATCTTTCTCAAAAACGTCCCATACAATAATCTGTACTAGGGGTCGCGACCCCGACTTTGAATACACTGCTGTAAGGGTTAAGGTTAAAGGTTAGGGTTAGAGGCCAGATGAGAGAGAGAGAGAGAGAGAGAGAGAGAGAGAGAAAGAGAGAGAGAACTACAAGACCTTTTCCCTCTCTTTTCTCTCAATCTCAACTTTCCCTTCCCTCTCACTCTCTCTCCCCCCTCTGTTCCCCTCTGATTCCCTCTCTCTACACCCCTCTCTCTCCCTTCCTCTCTCTCATTCTCTCTCCCTCTCTCTCTCTCTTTCTACCCCTCTGTGAAATAAAGCAGGCAGTGAAGTGAAGAGAATCTTATTCCCTTTAATGAATAGCACATTGCCTGGAGCCAGCTCCCCAGAGTATGTGTGTGTGTGTGTGTGTGTGTGTGTGTGTGTGTGTGTGTGTGTGTGTGTGAATCCCTACACACTGTAGTTGTGACACATCGTCTTTCTTGGTTGTTGGCAGAAGATTTTCATAACCATCTACTAAGCCACATGGTGCCAAGGAAAATTACATTTGGTGAGGGGAGAGAAAAAGGGAGAAGGAAAGAGAGAAAGAGAGGGAGATTGGTTCATTATTTTTTCTTTGGTGGGAGGAGGGGGAGATGAGTGGGATTCTAACACTTTAGAGCCGTGGTTCCCAACTCCAGTCCAACCGTACCCCCAACAGAACATATTTTTATTGATTTCTAATCATCAGGCCCTAAATGAGTTGAATCAGATATGTTTGTCCGGGGCTACAACAAAAATGTGTACTGTTGGGGGTACTCGAGGACCGGAGTTGAAAACCACTGCTTTAGAAGTATTTCAGCCTCTCGATAAAGCTATACTAGAGAGAGGAAGGTACGTACCACTATCATCCATTTACCCACAGGCCTTTTCTGACGCCTGAACGTCTATAGAAGCAGACAGATATGTCAGGCCTCCTCTATGTATAGTTAGTGATCTGTTAGTGATGCTGAAGACCTCTCTATGTACACTTCCCCTTACTGCTATCTCATGCAGTCTGTGAGCGAGGGGTTAGTTTAAGAACCACACACGCAACACATGCACCTGCCTGTAGCAGCATGAGGTTTTAGACACACGCTATGGGCTGTGCTAGGTTCTGATGAAAGCCACAGGTTTTGTGGGGCGCTGTGTTCTCTGTACACCAGTAGCCACAGGGGGTTGGGGTTACACAGCAAGCCGTGCCTGTTAGTTTTAGACACGCTCACCTGCTTCCTGCCACATCATGAGTCACATGGTGTGACAGAGGACTCTAAACATGACTGGCAGTGTTATTAAAAATAGTAGAATGATGGCAATCTCTGTAGGGAAAATACAGACCTGTCCCAGGCTGTACTCAGTGATGGAGGGATCTGATGAAGGGAGGACTTCTCCCTGACTCCCTGAGACAGTGTTCCCCCTTTAAATGTTCCACTGGCATGTTTCCAGTAGGGCCACATTAAGGAGCGCACTGTCCTCCCTCGCCTGGTTTCTGTTGCTGAGTCTGCATTTCTCACACAATAGGCTGGGAGGTGGTGTGTTTGCGTGCGTGCGTGCTTGTGTGTGTGTGTGTGTGCACAGGAAGCCTCGGTGCTGTGATGAGGCCTCGGCCAGCCAGGGGTCAGGGGTTTGAGGTCAGAGGTGGTCAGCAGGGGGACAAGGCCTGCTGTGATTGGATGACTACGTCCTTGTGAGGACAGCGGTTTGGAATGCGGCCCATATCTTTAACAGTAGTGGTCAGAGATACTGTATGATACCATTCACCAATCTGCTCAAAACACTGCTACACACACACCACATATATGAATTCACATTTGTACGCATGAGCTCACTCACGCACACTTACACACACTTACACACACATACACATACAGACACACACACACACAGGGCCTGTTGTTCTAGTGAAGTCTATTATGGGTCTCCCTATGATGATGTCATGACTCAGTCAAAGGTCATTAGTAAAGGTTGTTAAAGGTCATGCTCTCACAGCAGGCTGTTTGGAATCTGACCCCTGACCTCTATATCTGTCCCCATCAGCTCAGCCTGTTTGGATGTGTGGGAGAAGGAGAGAAGGAAGGGGGAGAGAAGGAGAGAAGGAAGGGGGAGAGAAGGAGAGAAGGAAGGGGGAGAGAAGGAGAGAAGGAAGGGGGAGAGAAGGAGAGAAGGAAGGGGAGAGAAGGAGAGAAGGAAGGAGGAAAGAAGGAGAGAAGGAAGGGGGGGAGAAGGAAGGGGGAGAGAAGGAAGGGGGAGAGAGGGGAAGAGACTATGCTGTTGCTAAGAGCCTTTTCCATAGACCCACTTCCTGCCCAACCTGCCCGGTTTCCCTTTTGGCCAATGATGTCATCAGGAGCTCCATATCTCTTCGTCCCTCACGGGAGACTCAGGAGGAGGCAGAGGGTGGAGAGAGGGGGAGGGGAGGGGTGAGGAGGAGGGAGGAGAGGGCTGAAGAGAGAGAAGGAGAGAGTGATGACCTCAGGAAGAGGCTGGCATTCCATTCCTCTTCCTCCCTCTGCCTCCCAAGTAACACGCTAGGGCACAGTGAGCTCACTACCTGAGGGGGAAGGGGGAGACAGGGGGAGGAAGAGGTTGGAGAGAGGGCTGAGGAAAGAGGTGAGTAAGGGAGAGACATCTTCAGCCTGGCTCCCTGTGTTCTAGTCCTAATAATTATGATGATGGTGATGATGATGTAGGGCTGTGGTCACTGTGAGCCATATTCAGTCATTTCCTCTGGTCAAATTCCTCACTCTAGCTGCTTATCATGTGTAGGTATAGTCCTTTAACATCTCTCTCTCTCTCCCCCCCAGGTGTTCTATGTATCTGACCTGTTCAAGCCACAGGAGAAGCCTACCTCGCCCCCTCCCTCCCCCATCAAGAAGGAGCTCCTCCCCCCTGCTGACATCGTCGAGCGGAACAACCACCACAACATGGTGTGAGACAGGCCCGCCCCTTCCCCTGACCGAGGAGCCTATCACAGCGCTTCTCGCCTCCCATTGGACAGTAGAATGTAGCGACCAGAGAGACTATGGTCGCATCTCAAATCGCACTCTGTTCCTTATATAGTGCACTACTTATCACACCAAAGTAGTGCACTACTTAGGGAATAGTGTGTTATTTGGTCCTGCCCTGCAGAAACCACTATCCAGACTCTTTACTACTATTGTTCTTACTACTATTCTGATTTGAGCCCAAGTTAGAGCAAAAATAAAATAATAAAAAGCTAAAAGACAAGAAGTTAGAGACAGAGAGACAGACAGACAGCAGTGCAGAGCCACTGAAACTGAACACTTCGTAACCACACAAAGGGAAAAAAGTGTCAAAAAAGAAATGAATGAATGAATGAATGAAGGAGCGAAAGAGGCCTTGACATAGGATAACAACTTCCTTAGTAATAGGAACGATATTACTGCAATATTACTAGCACACGACACATCTAGTATATGAGTAACAATATAGAGTAGAATAACTTACAGCACTATAATCCAGTTCACTGTCAATTATCACCACTCGCCACCATATGGAGCAGCTATAAGAACGCTTGTAGATGCTTACGTATAAGGTGAAGTTAACCTGTAACTAGTTAACTTGTCCAATGCCAGCTACTGACTACAACAACAGAAGGAAGAGACCTGGAGATGAACCAGACACAATGGGACTCATTTATGGACTCTTGGAAGATTAGTCCAAATGAGGACAAAACAATATCCTTATAAAAATCTAGTTAAATCCTCCTCTAGCTTCTACCTCCAGGTATAGAAGTTTGGACTAGTCTAGTTGTCAGCTCAACAAGCCTCTTATAACTGCCCCTATGAGTAGCCTAACCTGAGATGATGCTTTCTGAAAGAGGGGGGTGGGATGAAGAAGGGGTTTATGAACGAGGTAGGGTAAAGGAGGGATATTGATTAGTATTAGTTTGCGGGAGTCAAGGGGAGGAATGGAGGGAGGGGGAGGTAAATATCTCTTAGCCACCTGTCACCCGGTGTGGGGGCGTGGCTGTGCCATGCTGACATCTGATTAGCTGCATAGGTGGGGGTGTGGTCTGTTACCATGGATGTAGGGTTGATTGACAGCTAAGCTGGCACATTATTATGGGATAGGGGCTCTTTCCGCTGGCAGGGAGGGGCTCTGGCCCACCCAGTCACTCATTGGCAGTATGTCTGTGTGTGTCCTGTGTGTCACTGTGTGTGTATGTCCACTCTGTGTGTGTTTTGTTTGTGTGTGTGATGTGTGTGGGTTTGCATGTCTTGTGTATTTGTGTTTCTGAGTGTGATCGTATTTGTGTCTATGTCTGTGTGTGTCTATGTCTGTGCCAAGAGTGTGTGCCACTATGTGTGTGTTTGTGTGCGTGTTTGTGTGTGTGTGTGTGTGTGTGTGTGTGTGTGTGTGTGTGTGTGTGTGTGTGTGTGTGTCAGAGAGGGCCAGGGGTGGAGGGCTAAGACCCTGTCTGGAGAACATTCGAAAACTGTGGAATGAATATTTTTATTTTCTGCTACGATGGATCTTTAACATGTTCAGTGCTAGTCCAGTAATGTAATTAACTAACCGCTCCCCATCAGCCATTTTATTTTACAGTTCAGTTTACTTAGGGGAAATCTCAAATGGCTCACTATTGCCTATAGAATGCTCTTCTTGCTAAAAGAAGTGCACTAGATACAGAATAGGGTGCCATTTTGGACAGGCCTAAGACATCTTCTCAACATCACCACTTCTAAAACGTAGCACATCTTTCTAATCACGTTTAGTCCGTCCTATCATTTAAGCAAACCCTTTTTTCATTTTATAAATATATAAATAATGTATAGTTCACTAAAATTAACTGTGTAAGATATCATTTCTTATGTTTAGCTATTGTCCACTATGAAACCACAACCTGTGTTATCTACCAAGTGCTGCTTAAAAAGCATTGATTGACAGATTTTTGTATTTAGTTAACTACAATATTGTAGATTTGTGATAGTAAGTTTTTAATACGCGTTGAAAACAAACAGACCTACAATTTTATTAAAATTCACTATTAGTATTTTTGTATTGTCTCATTTTGTATAAAATAAATATTAGCAACATTTTTTTCCTGCTAAATGTACTTAGCTCTACTACATGTGGTTTTAAATAAAAAGCCCATTATGAACACAACTGTGTGGAGTCTTGTCTTGACTGTATGGTTTTACAGTATATTGATGATATCAGGTTTCAGGAGAAGACCCAGATGCAGAGAGTGTTGAAGTAACAAAAGTTTATTACAAAAACAGGGGGCAGGCAAACGATAGGTCAAGGGCAGGCAAAGGTCAGTAATCCAGATCAGACTCCAAAAGATACAGAATGGCAGGCAGTCTCAGGGTCAGGACAGGCAGAGGTCAATAATCCAGGGTGGTGTGACAAGGTACAGAACAGCAGGCAGGCTCAGGGTCAGGGCAGGCAGAATGGTCAAAACCGGGAAAAATAGAAAACGGGAACCTGAGAAAGAAAGGAGCAAGGGGAAAACCGCTGATAGGCTTGACGAAACAAAATGAACTGGCAACAGACAAACAGAGAACACAGGTATAAATACATTGGGGATAATGGGGAAGATGGGCGACACATGGACGGGGGTGGAGACAATCACAAAACAGATCAGGGTGTGACAGATGATCTGTAGCGTTAGTTTTATGGCTCAGCTGGGTCTCATGAAAATAGGGTAACACTTCAAGTGTTGTTCATGACAACTCCATAGCAGTGTTAAAGAGCATTGTTAAGTGTCATAACACGTTTCAAAACCTGACCAAAATGTTATAAAATCTTAGGTCAACTGGAACAACGCTCCAAAAATTATATTTGCCTGTCATGAGCTATGTATTTCTTAACATTATGACATAGTGTGGTAAGATATTGACAACACTGTTATGGATGTGTCATGACTGAACAACACTTTAAGTGAAGTGTTACTGAAAGTAGTATTCCACGCACATCTAACTTGGCACAGGAGCTGGACTCAAGTGAAGAACCTCCCATTTTCAAAAATAGTGTTTATACTTTTCTTGAAGGGAAAATGTCTTAGTACAGACACCACCATCAGTTTCAGTCAGATATAGACACCACAGACACCATCATGGCAAAGAGGCCTCAAGTACTGTAATTATAAGTGTTTAGGTCATATGGATGTTTAGGTCATACGGGTGTAACTTGCACTCACACATACACAGTGAACTCGGCAGGGCTCAGAGGAGTTGACGTCACACCTTGGCAGAGCAGAGCATGTGTGTTTGAAGAGACGGCATCATGTTGTGTGACTGAATGAGAAACAGGCGATGTCATTTTCTCTGCAGTAAAGTCTGTTTTCAGCTGAGGAGAGAGTTCTCTGAAGACAACTGAAAATAACTAAATAGATGTGGTATTAAAACCCAGGTTCTGAGAGGACAGTGTGGTGTTAGAACCCAGGTTCTGAGAGCACAGTGTGGTGTTAGAACCCAGGTGTCACGCCCTGACTCAGGGGACGCTTAAATGTTGAGTCAGGGTGTGTATATTCTTTGTTGTATATATTCTAGGTTGTAGTTCTATTATGTGTAGATCTATGTTGGCCGGTGTGGTTCCCAATCAGAGGCAGCTGTAGCTCGTTGTCTCTGATTGGGGATCATACTTAGGCAGCCTATTGGCACTAGTGGGTTGTGGGATCTTGTGCCATGTGAGGTTTGTTGTGTGTTACCTTAGGACTTCACGTGTCGTTGGTTTATTGTTTTGTCGTTGTTTATTCGTTATAATAAACATGTATGCATATCACGCTGCGCCTTGGTCCGTCCCGTCAATCAACAAACGTGACACCAGGTTCTGAGAGGACAGTGTGGTGTTAGAACCCAGGTTCTGAGAGGATAGTGTGGTGTTAGAACCCTTAACAGACAACACCAGTCTAAACACATCTAATCTACCAGCTCTCATAGTCTCACATCAGAATTAGACGTTCATCCATGTTTCTCAAATGTCAAATTTCGAAGTTGTTCCAAACGTCAATTTCAAAGTGTTTAAGATTAGGTTTAGGCATTAACTCAGAATTTTTAAGGTTAGAGTTAAGTTCAGGCATTAACTCCAAATCATTAAGGTTATGCATTAACGCTGAATGATTAAGGTAAGGGTTAAGGTTTGGGATAGCCTTAAAACAAAAATATCAAAAACAATTTATATTGCTGGATTTTAACTTGCAACCTTTGGAATCAGAGGCAGATGCTTATTAAAAGGCAGATGCTCAGAGGCAGATGCTTAGGCCCATCTGCCATCCCTGTCCACAATGCCCTAGCAAAACCAAAACTTACTTGAAGGTATCAGCACTCACTGTTGCCCCTAGTGGCCGGTTTCCACGTCATCTCCCGACGTCCTCAGACATGGATGGACGTCGAATACTGACTTGTATCACGGGTGACCTGGCTAATGTACTACCACAGGCAGATTGATTAGAAAATGTAGATGGTATTAGAAGGTCCTAACCTAGTTCTAGTAAATCCAATATGTGAAGGTGTTAGATAATAATGAAGACAGTTGAATGGTTTCCATGCTCTCATTCCGTTCTCTGACAGTGATTAACAATAACATGAGGGATTAATAATAATCGGGTTTACCCTAGATGCTGTTCCAAATGGAGGATCTTTGTGGGGAAAGGAAATCTTCCAGTTTCCCAAAATAACATGAAATAGATGTAATGTTGTTTTTATTAATCAAAACTGCAAAGTGGGATTGGATTGAAATGATATTCTAGCATTTCTAATCAGCGTTGGATATTTTCAGATATAAATCTGAGAACATCCTGTTATCTGAAACAGACAGAAAGAGGATTGACAGAGACAACACATACTGTACACATGCAGGCACACACACACACATACACAACATCCAGGAGACCAGGACGTTAGAGAACAGAACAGGATAAATTATCTCCTTACTATTAAGTTAAGCATCACTTCGGAGA